CTCAGCACCTGCGCACAGACCCGGATTACAGAGAAAACAGCCATTTATTGACAAAGTATTTCGTTTTAATTGTGACCCATGGCAGTAAATGATGGATTATCATATCGTAAGCAATGATGGATTATCATATCGTAAGCAGTTACATATTAATAATAATGTAATTGCTCGACATGTGCGATTCGTTTCGTTCCGAACGAAATTCGGACGAATTTTCGGATGTATCCGAATTCTGGATATAACGAATGCAAACAAATCCGAATTTCCGTTTCTGAAATTCGTTAGCGGTAGGTTGTTTGTTTGTTTTTCGTTCGTTGCAGCAAAGTGACATTAGAGAAGGAGAAAAACATTCCCCCCCTCAAATATCACTTTGCTGCAACGAACGGACGAATAAGAAACGAAAACGAACGTTCGAACGAACGCTAACGAATTTCGTCCGAATTGAATTTCACACCCGAATCCCAAAAAACTAAATAACACAAAATCCGAATCCAAACGAAACAAAACTAAATTTTTGCCAGTGCACATGTCTAGTAATTGCTTAGGATGTTAATTGCAAATAAAATGCCATCCATCATTTACTGCCATGGAGGACATATTATCAACGGTCACAATTAACGCTTTGTGAATAAATGACTGTTTCCGCGATAATCCCGGTCTGTGCGCACGGGCAGATGCTGAGGACGGCAAATCCGACTGGGTCGACGTTCTTGACAGAACACCGGCAAGGAAGTTTGCGGACGTCACAACTCTGGAGTGTAATTCCACTTTAACAGGCGGCATAACGCAGCGCACCAATGCGGACGGGTGTTACCGTGGAGCCATTCCAGAGACACCACACGCTAAGCCGTTCCGTAGTCCATTTTACCCTCATTTTGAAAACCAAATCTTTTTTTCCCCCTTATCTGCCCCTCTTCATGGTGGGATGTGTAGACTTCAATATAAAAATATATTATTGAATAACCTTAATTACTAAAATAGTGTTGTTAGACCTGTAAAACGATGAAAGAACCTCCACCCAGCAAAAGGCCTACTGCCTCCTAACGTTTTTCCACCTTCTCACATCCACCTCTAGTCACATTTTACCAACACAAAGACCGTGTATGAGATATATTGGATCAATTATAAACACATTATAACTCACAAAGTGTATAAATAAATCAATACAGGTGACTACGTCACGAACTCCAGGCGAAAAAAAAGAGCAGGAAGCTTCAGAGTTCCCTGCGCATGCGTGCAGCCGGATTATGATGGTTCCCGTACAAGGTACTGCGGCCCTCGCACGCGAGGCACGAGCTCGAGGGTTTGCGAGTGCGCGCATGGAAGGAGACGCCGCGCCACGAGAGCTGTAACACGCAGGCGCGGTACGGCGGCGGTGTGAGTAGGCGGGGTTTGTAGTGGGCGGGGTCTGCAGCTTCTTGTACAGTGGGGAGAATGGAGAGCGGGTGTTGCCGGGTGTCTGATCTTAAAGGGAACCTGTCACTAGAATTGGGTCTATAAGCTTGCAGTGCCGCTGAACCAGAATGGTGGCAGGCTCTGGAACCCAAGTGGCGTGCCATGGTTTTGCATTGGTGCTGTACATTAGTCCCTGAATGGAGGGTGGACCTTGACAGGAGTGTGCGGTGGACCTGGGGCATGCAACCTGCACCCCAAGGTGAGGCATGCGCTATACATGGTACAATCTAACCATGCAATCAGCTTTAGATCTACCAAAATGATGTAATAGGGTCTACCTAACCTATCTAATCAGGCAGGCTGCTGCCTAGGGTTGCCACCTTTTCTTCAAGCAAAACCCGAACACTCTGGCGACGCTCTGAAATTTTTTTGGGGAGAATGAGTGGCGGCTTATTCATATGTAAATAGTGCCCGCCATTCATATGTAAATATCACAGTTGAGACTATTTTCAGTAGGGGTCCAGTAGCCCCTATCTTGATTTTGGTTGCCCCTGTCTGCCTGACATCTTGTGTCCGGGTTACAGCTGCCACGAAACCCGGACACAGCATTCAAAACCCGAACTGCCCGGGTGCATCCTGGACAGGTGGCAACCCTACTGCTGCGCTATACAGCTGTTGGTAGAACTGAAAGAGATTGTACAATCAGATTGGGATGTGTAGTGACCTTTAGAATGATTAGCCCATAAAATAATATTCTTAAACTCATCTCAGCCTCTGCTTCCTTTGTGAGGGTGGCTACATTTGTTCTCCATGGTCCCATTGAATGCAGCAATGTAGCCACCCTCCTGGGTGCCCTCCAGAAATGGACTACATCAGTGACAAGACCAGTCACCCTGCACAAGAAGAGAGTGCAGCAGTGACTGGTCTTTATTACAGGAGGGGGAGGAGACAAGACCAGTCACCCTGCTGCACAAGGAAAGAGCAGCAGTAAGCGGTCTTTATTACAGGAGGGGGCGGAGACAAGACCAGTCACCCCGCACAAGGAGAGAGCAGCAGTGACCGGTCTTTATTACAGGAGGGGGAGGAGACAAGACCAGTCACCCCGCACAAGGAGAGAGCAGCAGTGAGCGGTCTTTATTGCAGGAGGGGGCGGAGACAAGGCCAGTCACCCCGCACAAAGACAGAAGCAGTAAGCGGTCTTTATTACCGGACGGGGCGGAGACAAGACCAGTCACCCCGCACAAGGAGAGAGCAGCAGTGACCGGTCTTTATTACAGGAGGGGGAGGAGACAAGACCAGTCACCCCGCACAAGGAGAGAGCAGCAGTGAGCGGTCTTTATTGCAGGAGGGGGCGGAGACAAGGCCAGTCACCCTGCACAAAGACAGAAGCAGTAAGCGGCCTTTATTACAGGAGGGGGAGGAGACAAGACCAGTCACCCCGCACAAGGAGAGAGCAGCAGTGAGCGGTCTTTATTACAGAAGGGTGCGGAGACTGGACCAATCACCTGCACTAGAAGAGAGTGCAGCAGTGACTGGTCTTTATTACAGGAGGGGGAGGAGACAAGACCAATCACCCTGCTGCACAAGGAAAGAGCAGCAGTGAGCGGTCTTTATTGGGTGGTTTTGACATATCTCTGAAATGGCTTTCGGGTGGGGGATGGGGGTGTGCTATATAATTGAGCACATTCCTATCTATAGATCTGACCGTCTACTCCTCATAGAGTGGCCCTGTCGGTCTAGTGGCCCTGAATATGGCAGCCACACAGATTGTAGCTGATAAGCTCCTGATTGGTTGCTGCAGGTTACATTGTTTCTTTATTCTATATGTGGAGACGTCATTTGTTTGTTGGTGTCATAAGACTGGCAGCATAGAAAGGGGAAGTGATGAGTGTGATGGGGCGGGAGGGGACGGCTGTCACACGACGGGCTGTATATATCCTGAATCCTGATCGGACATCCAGAGATCGCCGTGTACCCGGCGCACGATCTACCCGCCTCTGGTATGTGCCTGACATGCACACGCTTGTCATAGAGAGATCATAGAATGCAGAAAGAGGAGAGTAAAAATATTAGACTATTGAAAATAGAAAAAAAGAGAGTAGAACGGGGTTGGCAACTACACATTCCTTCATGCCTCTGGGAGTCATGCCTGTAGCTGTCAGATACTTGCAATGCCTCATGGGATTTGTAGTTTCACCACAGCCGGAGTGGCAAGGTTGCCCATCCCTGGAACAGAAGATATAAGATTCACACTGTTCTATGTGCATGCAGTGTGCACGGTAACACACACACACAGGTCTAGTTCACACGGCATCAGCTTGTATTATATAGAAAAGTTCAGACCGCGCTCACACTGTAGTCCAATAGTATTCATCCTCCTGAATGTAGCGCACACATTACAGTCACTCAGTGTTTGCTATACTGACATTCACTGACGGCAACTAAGTTACAGCTTGTAGAATAAGTATGGGAATGTCTAGGTGCTCAGGTGGGCTTGTTAGATCTGACACTGCTTTTCAGAGGGCGGTTGACAGGCAGATGGTGGGCTGTTGAGGGGCGGTTGACGGGCAGATGGTGGGCTGTTGACGGGCAGATGGTGGGCTGTTGACGGGCAGATGGTGGGCTGTTGACGGGCAGATGGTGGGCGGTTGAGGGGCAGATGGTGGGCGGTTGAGGGGCAGATGGTGGGCGGTTGAGGGGCAGATGGTGGGCTGTTGACGGGCAGATGGTGGGCTGTTGACGGGCAGATGGTGGGCTGTTGAGGGGCAGATGGTGGGCTGTTGAGGGGCAGATGGTGGGCTGTTGACGGGCAGATGGTGGGCTGTTGACGGGCAGATGGTGGGCTGTTGACGGGCAGATGGTGGGCTGTTGACGGACAGATGGTGGGCTGTTGACGGACAGATGGTGGGCTGTTGACGGACAGATGGTGGGCTGTTGACGGACAGATGGTGGGCGGTTGACGGGCCAATGGTGGGCGGTTGTCTTGTGTTAACTGCTACCGTCTTCTAATCATGAGGCCGGGACTATGTGTAATGTGGAGGATGAAGGATGTGTTTGTCATTGGAATTTCTATTGTGTTGTTTGCGGGTGCTGATGGGCGAATCCGCTTTGAAGATGGAAGTCTGTAAAATACAGCCAGACAAATGTCCAACATTTCTTTGTAATCTCTCTCTCTCTCTCTCTCTCTCTCTCTCTCTCTCTCT